GAACAAAACGACACCTAGCGATTTCTGGTTGAGCTGCGCGTGCCTCTCCTTCTGGTGTCGATCTCCCTCCCAGTGGTCCATGACAGCGTTGTCAGGGTCCAGAGCGAGGCATTTGAAGCGCTGCGAATTCCTTTCCGCTCGTCTCTTGTTCTTCTCGGGTGTCTTTTCGCGGGCGGTGTCGGGCGGTTTGGCGGGTTGTTGTTGTCCCCGCTGGCGGAACCACGCTCCCAGCGGCCGCTGTTCCTGCAGGCTCAGCAGTTTTAACTTCTCTCGCCAGGTGAAGTTTTCTAGATGCTCCAAAAAATCCTGAACAAAACATAGAAAAAGACATAAACTTACAATTTCAAAATGTGGCTTTTTCACGTGTTTCGTTACGCAAACATTTCAGTATCAAGATATATCAGGAAGACTACCATGCATTAAAATAAAGACGTGCATTTAAGTGCTGAAAAAAAGTTGGAAAGTGCATAATCTCCAAGATGTAGGGTCCGGGTCAGTGTTCGATGCATTATTTAAGATTTTTATACGTCTTTCTTTTAGAGGCCCGCTGTTTTCTTTCTTTGCTTCCCCCTATAGCTAACGCATAAAACATCAATCAGGACCCTACATTTGCTTGGAGACTGCATTCTGCATGCATTAGTACAATCGTCGTGCAAGTGTGACCCCTGTTTGAAAACGTGGACACACAGAAGGACGCAAAACTCACACAGAGTGACAAAACCAAACAGGGATGGATCATTTACGGATGGGGGCTGCGAAGCTGAGGTATCCGCGGCCCTTCTTGTCGTGCCATATCTGTGGAGAGAAGTCATCAACGGTGAGGGTTGTTTTCACATGACGTCATCGCCGTGTCAGCCGCCATGTTGGTGTCCTCATTAGCATTCCATTGAGTTACAGCTCGAGCATTTTCGAGATCTGCGTTCAAATAACCATTATCTAAAGCCTATATCCGACCCAGATGAATACTTAAAACCTTGCCGACAAAACACAAAAATGCTGCGTATGCTTGAGCTACCATGGAAATGCAAATAAGGCCACCAAAATGGCCGTCGGATTTGGAAAGTGAGAGAAAACGTTCTACTGTTGAAGCTATATGCTGAGCGAGCTACCAGGAAGCAAGTGGCGTGTCTAAAACGTTGAATAGCTTACAGGCAACAGTGGTGTACTATGAAAGCATACACAAGGGTAAAAGAAACGTGCATCAGTTCAAAATTCTATCCACCAAAAGAAAAAAAGAGAAAGCCTTCCTATAAATAGTTCATGCGCTACATCTCGAAAGTATTGCATTGTCATGAGTACAAGCATCTTCGTGCAGTAAGACACCCAACCACCTGCGCACCTGTAGACAGAACAGACGGTTCAACGTCAAAACACCTGCAGGCCACCTGGCGCCATTTTGGGCGCGAAACCACGCAAGACCCTGAGTTCTGGGTCCAGCATCTCCCTGGCAGCGACACTCGGGTGGACACGCGGGGACAGAGGGGCTAGGTGCAGGGGAGTGGCCCGCCGCCGGTTCGCTCCTATGGTATAACGAAGTCTTGGGTGGATCTGTTTGGGTATCCGGGACGGTACAGGGACGCTCCTACTGCGTGGGTCTGGTACTGCAGGTAAGGGAGCAAAGGCCTGCCAAGTGTCCAGCTGCAAAAGTGACGTGACAAAAACACTGACATATTTGACAAGACGCAAGACGTCGACAAAACGTACATAACCTGGTTAGCGATGACAAATAAAGATGAGCACATATATCGTGTTTGTAACAGAAGTCGCTTCCTCTGTGAAAAATCACCTAGCTTGGCAAACATTGAAATTCTTTTCCCTTGACTCATCTCATTCTTACAATGCTTATGAGTATGACGCTTTTTGGCCAAACTCTCCGGGCAAATTATTCTCCCTATTTGGCTAAATTTTGCTGTTTTTCAGTCATCGTTGTTAGTCGAGTGGATCCGGAGACCTAAATTAGACCTAAATTAAGTTACACGAAGTAGTAACAAAACTCCAGCCCACGTATGTATACACATGATGTACACTAGTCTCTACCAGGCTTCGGGAGACGGCTGGAAAGAGTAAAAATCGGTCAAATGAAGAGGTAACATGCCGAGGTAGTTGGTCCGCTAGAGAGTGCGTTTTGCGGTAAAACGTACTCTCTAGAGCGGACCAACCCCCTCGGCATGTTTAATATCTCTCTATTCGACCGATTTCTACTCTTTCCAGCCGTCTCCCGAAGCCTGGTAGAGGCTAGATGTACAGAACCTCTCACCTGTCTGTCCATGGCCATGATGTTGATTCCCGTGGCGCTCATGTCTGACACAGACGGCACGTCGGTCTGTTTGGAGTCCGCGCCGGGATCGCTCCTGAAACAAAGGTTGTCTCTCAGAAACGTACGCGTATACGGTTCAACCATGGTTCAAGTTCAACTAAGAACAGTGGGGAAGAGCTTTGTGAGTAATTGTAGGAGGTTGGACTTGTACACATGTGGTGACACATCTGGTGTCGATTATGTAACTCCCGGATAAGACCAATAAAGGACAGGGACCCAGTGTCCCTGGGATCAGTCTGGCCCAAGCCGTGGTCTAGTGTGGTCATCTCTATAGCAGCATCCAGCATATATAACACTGGTGGCAGCGTACAGCGCTTTCGAGCGCTCAACCCACGCCATACCGACGATGCCGCCCGACTAGGTAGCATCCCTGACCCATCGATCGACCGCAGCCATCGCTACCATGCTGCCCGATCCGCCAGCCCGCTAGCCGGCCACACCGACTCGACCCCTGACAGCCGCCATGCCGCCCGACACACCAGACCGCCGCTCCGTATCCGGCCACACCGACTAAGGATCCGTCGACGCTGTCGCTACGTGCCACGACCTCTTTTCTACCCAGCCGTGCTCCCGTGAACCAGGCCTGCCGTGAACCTGCCATTTGTCTCAGCCATGCAACCCTGCCCAAGACCGTCAAGACCGTGCCATGCCGTCACCTTCCAGCCCGAGCAGCCTGTGCCACGTCGCCGCGTCCCGACCGCCGACCGCCCGCGGAATCCAGCCCGCTGACTCCAGGCAGCCCTCGTGTCGCAGACAACCGACCCCATCATGAGTAGGAACTGACTTTCTAACATGACGTGACCTGCTTGATCTTTGCTGCGAACTCTTGAGTACTGTATCTCTACCCACAGAACTTTCTAAGACCTATGAACTCTTGTGGTGTTGACTTGTTGCACAATATGTTTTGTTTTCTATGTTTGCCCTTGCTCGCACGCCTACGGGAAGCGACCAAGCCGCCTTGAGCCTATGTTGTGTTACTTGCAAATGATGCTTGCCTAGTAGAAATGCTTGCCTACGGGACGACCCTGCTAGGAAGATCATGTATTAGCCTTTGTGTTTTTGTGTTTCTTGCGAATGATGCTTGTCTAGTAGAAACGCTAGCCTACGGGACGACTCTGCTAGGAAGATCATGTATTTTTTGCGTTCCCGGATCACACTGTCGCTGTGTGACGGTCCGGAAGTCCCCAGACTGCCCCACGCTAGGGAGTACGCGAGGAAATGCGAACTTTGCCGCTGTGCAAGTTCAAAATTATGTGCTATTTTGTATGTGTAATTGTTTATGCCTTGTTCGTTTATTATTGTGCTCCACATGTACTGTATAGCAGCGGTCCGTCTTACCCTTACCATCAAATTCCAAAGACCATGTGCACATCTGCTTTTTGTTGGCCAAGTTAATTAATAGCATCCTGTTACTTTATGGACCCAATTTCAAACCCATTATCATTGTTGTTTTTCCGGTGGCCATTATTATTACAGCGGTAACACTTTTAGTTATAGATTAGCGTTTAGCCACTGTAGCATTTGTTTGATGTAGTTTGCTGTTAGTTGTTTTTTAGTTGTTTTTGTTTTTCTGCCCCTCAGTATATTTATGTGTCGAGGACGACACCTTTTGTGAAGAGGGGGCCAGTGTAGGAGGTTGGACTTGTACACATGTGGTGACACATCTGGTGTCGATTATGTAACTCCCGGATAAGACCAATAAAGGACAGGGACCCAGTGTCCCTGGGATCAGTCTGGCCCAAGCCGTGGTCTAGTGTGGTCATCTCTATAGCAGCATCCAGCATATATAACATAATCTCCAAGCAGATCACACGGTGGCAAGGCTGTATCCATAGAGGAGTGTGGCCAAAGGATACTGCCTTGGATATTATTCGTGGGGGCGTTTCTGACGGACGGACAATCTTTTTCATTGCAAAACAAGGGGCATATTATATTTTATATCTTTTTTTTTATTTACGTTTTTCCCATATCTACTGTG